TAAGCGTCAAATTACAAAATCTCGATATTCCGTTCGATATGAGGGTGAAACGGGCCGTTTTCATACCTCATTTGACATGAGCACCAAATTATCAAGTCTCAATACCTCATCCGGTATGAGACAACGTTCACGGTAGGATTTCCTATGTACCCGGTCCGTTCACCAGCTCCCATAATATTAAGTAAGCCTGTTGTTTCGTCCATTCACTTAATCACACATTTTTCCGTTTACCTTTAACCTCCAGTTTCCTAATTCAACTGTAACCATACAAACAAACAATACATGCATTCAAAGCTATAAAGTCGATCAATCAAATACTATCATATATTTAAACTGTACAATATATTAACAGAATCAATAGTGAATAGTTTCTGATTCTGCCTCCATTAATAACCCGTAATCAATTATGAATATTTTCTAAATTGCACAAAATATCGTATTATTATTAATTAGACTTTAATTCTGTAACAAATAATAGGATGAGAGATTCTTACTCAATTTGATATCTAAAAAGATAAACTATTGACTGCGCTTACTGGCGGTTCTCGGGTTCTCTGAATTTTTCTTCGGAGATTAAAACTCACTACAAGTACCTATAAATATCTCAAAAAATCCAAAAACAGTATCAGAACCTCTTTCTGGCCAATTCTGGAATTTCTGCACGATGGCTCCCCCATGCTCCAATGACGGCACCACCGCCCGCAGCGGCGGTCCACCTCGGGTTGGCTGTTTTCGGCCAGTTTTACATCAATCTCTGCGAGAAAATACGTTAAGGAGCTCGGTTGGCTAAAAAAAATGAAAAATTGAAACTCAGCGGCAGTGGCTCTGCCGGCTCACTTTGCGGTTAGGTTTTTTGCTCCAGACAACCTGTAGAAAAGGAAATAATGATCACAATGATGGAAAAATTACGTAGAACGGGAATCAGGAAGGGCCTCATTGGAGGCAGTTTTTATAATTTCTCGCCGCAGCGGTGTCGGGATTTACCCTCAGTTTTCAGCTAATTCGTCAATTCTTTTGCTCCGATTTAGTTATGAGGGTGTTTAAAATTGAATTCCGACAAAATGAGAAATTTTTACCTCTTCTGGCAGTTGGAAAGGGCTCCAGCGCGACAACGGCTTCCTTCCTGGTGACTGGGTCTTCTTCTCTAGCGCCCGAGGGGGGATCTGGCAGATAGGGTTAAGGGTTTGGTGTGAAAATGGATATTTATATTCATTCCCATTTAATCTGGACCGTCAATCGCATTTGATCTGAACCATCCGATCGCGATTATATAGAAAGTGAATCTGGACCGTTTATCACGATCTAATCTGGACCATACAATCGCATTTAAATAGAAAGCGAATTTGGACCATTGATCGCATTTAAATCTGACCGTTCGATCGCGTTTAAATGGGGGACGAATCCAGACCGTCCACACGCACGTGAATAAATCCGGACCATTCGATCGCGGTCACCCGAATTGCCAGCGTGGCACCGCGCCAGCGTGCCTTGCCACGCGGCATGCTCCGGTTCGTTGGAGCTGATGACTGGGCGTACTATGTGACACATTTTTTTTTAAATTACGTTTTGACTCACAATTTTTGATTTTATTTTCAAAAACATTCTCAGAATCCTAAATTTTCACCAATTTTTTTCAAAATTGTTTTCAATTTCATACTCCACATATTTTTCTTAATTTTTTCATTAAATAAAAATTTAAAAATTATATTTATATGTTAATTTTAAATATATTAAAATTAATTTATGGTATTTCCTAAGAACAAAAGGAAATTGTTACAGAAAACATTCTGTTATGCGGAAGAAGACAGCAACAAAAAAATTCCTTCTGTCATTCCTCTGTAAATTGCTTATGAGAATGTCAGCTGGTTGTGGACTGGAGATGCCTTCTCCTGCAGCAGCTGTTAGATTGAAGAGTAATTATTAATGAGGCTTTAACTTTTCTAACTGAAAATTAAAAGAAATTTAAAAAAAGTGAGAAGAACAAGAACATAAAAAGGTGGAAAGAAAACATGGACGCATTACTACAATCACTAAAATGCACTTATGCAACATATACATACACACGCACGCATATACGTGTATATATATATATATATATTGCTTTTGTTTCATATTCTTTTCCTGTGTGGCACATGCACGTACTTTTCTTCACTAAATAGAATGGTGGGTTTTTGCCTGACTTTCCTATATAATGATGTTGACTTGACTTGATTATAAATCATTACACAAGAAAAATTTTAAACACTAAAATTTTTATTTATGAAAATTAAACTTTGAGACTCTTATATATATATATATGTATGTATGTATGTGTGTGTGTGTGTACATATTCTTAGACTCTTGGGTCAAGAACTTCTTATCCATGTCCATTTCAGCCTGACCCAAATCTTGCAATTCTAGTTTTTCCCCACCTTAGTAGTTTTCTTCGTTATAAGCAACAATGGCTAATACGAGTCCATCTAATATGTATATATATATATATATATATATATATTCTAATGAAACCATCTTATATACTTGATCTTAAAGAGCTAAAAAAATAATATATATATATATATATTAATACATTGATCAGTCGTTAATGTTGATGATAGATTTATAAGAGTTAGGCATATAAAAATTCATATGTTTAAAGCACTAATTTCTTCTTTGTACTTACGTCAACTAATTAATTTATGCATATACGTGTATACCCATATGCATATATTTCTTATAATGGCAACAATCATTTTTGTTTTGAAAGCCACCTTAGCTTGTGCACGAAGATAATCCCAATTTGCATAAAATAATATATATATATATATATAATATCCCAATCATGAACCTATCAATTTATTTTTTACATGCTTAATCTTTTTGTAATTATTTTCATGCTTACTTTGATATATTGTGTGTGTGTATATATATATATATATATATGTGCATGCATACATACATAAATAATGTTTATGGTAGGCCAAAAAATTAGAAACTAATTAACATAAATAATAATCTTGAATTATTTATATCTCGAATTAGTTTAATATTTTTATTTCTTTATGATAAATTATATAGTTTTTAGTCAAATTGGAATTTTTTTGTATTTTTTATTAGAATATTATATTATAATTTTTGTGTATTTGTTAGATGATTAATAAAATATATATTTATTTAAATAATTTAAGACATTAATTGGCTAACTTTTCCCGACCTTATTGACTTCTCTACTTCGTTGACCCGCCTAATCTCCGTTGATTTTAATCTTTTAAATAAGATGTCGGAGTTAATTAATTAATAAGATTAGCTTAGACTTAAACGTCTTTAAAGCAAATACGTCACCGTTTGACGGAGACAACTGCTTCGGCCACCAACACCCGAAACTTTGCAAAATGTCACTCCCAACTATTCTTCCTATGAGAAACATATAATTAATGACAAATTAGAGGATATATTTGGTATACCAACAAAAGCTTAATTAATTAATTAATGAATTAAAGATTAAGTTACGAATTTATTCTTTATAATTTTATAATAATTCTGTTTATGTTATTTTATTTTTCAATTAATATAAAAATAGTGATGAAATTATAAAATTTAAAATGTTTTTCTTAGTGGTTTTAATGAAATTATCATATAATTTTGTGTTTTAATTATCCTACAAATTTTAAAATATTTATATAGATTAATCTATTTTTTATTTATAAACCATTTGTTTGTATTTATTATATTAATTTTTTAAAAAAATAATAATTTACAAAATTATCTATTACCATATAATTGATATTTACGTGTACAACTCAATTTAAATGTCTTAATTTATCATTTTCTAATAAACCGAAAACTCTTTTACTAATTTTGGGCACGTTCGAAATATTATCTAGAACATATTGCCTATATATATACACACATAATTAGCATTATTTAATGGTATTTAAGGTTAATTAACCTAGTCAAATACAGACATGTATGACATATATGCATGATAGGCATATATACATATATATATAATTTTTTGGAATGCAAAGTAAATTACACCTCATCTCCAACCAAAATAAGTAAACGATAAATTTG